TAGCAGAAAATATGCTCTGAAATGACATATGGATTCTTGTCATGATTTGAAAGTTAGATATACACTTCAGCTTGAAATGCCATTATTTCAGGGCTTAGGAGGAGCTATGCAAATTCATCTCCCGGATACAAAGTTCAATAATATAAATTCTAGTATCAGGTTTCATAAAGCATTATAAGAGTATTGAAAAAACAAAAATCAAAATAGGTATGAAAGAAGTGTGCTTTACTATTAAGGGTCTATTAGATAAACAGATTTTTGAGTTCTTATTTCTGCAGATGAGAGGACATTTGAGATTATCTGGTGTTTGTTAGTAAGCTGTCTGTAGTAATTAGCACACAATGATGCTGGGTAATCAGGATCCGACAAAATGAATAAGCAAACTGTCTTACCAAATCTATTTTAAGTAGCCCTTGAACTCTGAGCACTGTTCTCCAGAGCACTATGATTGTGGGTGTATGTTTGTCAATGACTATGCAAACATGTTTTTCCACTTTTACTCTATTGCTGTCTGACTGTTATGACGTTGCTATGGTGACACCCTTTCCATATCCCTTTGCTCTTTTGGTACCCTCTCAGAGGAAGCTATAATGAGGTGGTTTGGCAAAAGATCATTTCTGGGATTTTTCTTATACACGGTTGAAGACCAGTGTGGCTTTCCTCTTACAGAATTGTATAAAGTATGAACTGAAATGGATGAAAAGTAATTTACACTAACTTAGGCAAAGAATGAGAATTGAGAATTTTTTTTTATCTTAACTACCTAGGAATATTCTTTTTGTTCCCAGAACCAGGAGATGACAGCCCAAGGGAGAGTGAGTCTTCTGGATTCAGTGTGGAATGTAACACTAGGGTCTCTTACCCTCCTGGGAAGGGACTAAGAGATGTGGCATTTCTTGAACATTTGCTTGGTGATAGGCACTATACTAGGTAATCACAAGCATCCCCTCATCTCCATACAGCTACCTATACCATTATCTACATTTAAGATGAAGTAGCTGCAACTCAGAGACATGAAACGCAGATGATGAGTTTTCAGATTCTAATGCCCATTCTCTTAATTACCATACCATCCTGTCTCAATGTAATGCCTCTTGAGCTGATCCTGGCTCCTCTCTTTTTCCTAGAAGAGCTTGAAAGGGAGATTTATGAGTGCTCACATCTAAATTCTTCAGACTTATTCTCTAGGAACCTGTAAAAGAGGATTATCTGAAGCAACGAACAAGTTGACAACTTCCTCTTTGAAAAAGGATGATACTTCAAGGCCTTTCTCACTTATCTATCAGGGCACACAGAACACTAATAGTCATGAGACTTGAACCAATGTCTCTATCTTCCTAGTTGTGTTATCTTGGGCAACCCACTCAACCCCTTAGCCTCAGTTATTTCATTGGGAAATAGATATGGTGAAAATCACTTTGTTCAAAGGTTGGGAGTAACCCAGTTGCTTTCTTTATTCACTTTTGTTTTCTTTTAGAACCTCTGAGTCTTAAGAAATATGAGGCTATATTTGGAGCCAGGATTACAAGTCCACGATTGCCCTTCCATATTTTCTCAAACAGAATTAGAGATTTTGAAAACATTTTACCCAGTAAGAGGTTCATTTTTCTCTTCTACTTGTTGACTTTTGAGTTACACCTTCAGATATTACTTTGACAGCTCCTTCAGGTAATTATTCTCTATTAATAACTTAACAAAAATCACTAAATTTCCTTTGACCTGTAGTGTAACATTTGGGTTCCTAACCCTTATCATCTAATTGCACACCACTTCCTATACCAACTAGATGAGTCTTAGTTTTACAGAACACATCTAACATCTTTTTTTCTATATTCCTGTATCTTTACTTTTGTGGTTCTTTTTATTTGAAACAATCATTCAACTAAATCCAACACTGTCCACCATCTTTAAGTCTAGTTCAAAAGCTATATTCTTCCTGAATTCTCCTTTACTTTTCTCCAACTAATCCTTTCCATCTCCACATAACACAGAAGTGTATTAGCACACACACACACACACATATATTTGTTATATATATATATGTATTAACACACATGTATATATGTTATACTCCTATATACTCCTATGAACTATGTCCATATTCTTGTCACTGGGCATATATATATATTACTCCTATGAACTATGTCCATATTCTTGTCACTGGGCATATATATATATATTACTCCTATGAACTATGTCCATATTCTTGTCACTGGGGTTTCCCTTCATGTCATTCTTACTGACATGAACATCCTGAGGACATGATTGTTCTTTGCCACATACTAGTGGAAAAGAAGTCACAGCTCTGGACTTGTCACACTATCAATTACTAAACTTTCCCCATATGATCTTGTACAAGTTGCTTCAATTTTCTGGCCTATAATTTCCTCACCTGTCTCAAGTACATAGGTAGCTTGTGAAAATTAAATGAGATATTCCATGTAAAATGCTTAATAGTACATGGCATTTTTTAAAAAAAGATATATTTATTTGTACATACAGAACTGGGGTACAGGCCAGAGGCAGATGGGTGGCGAGAGGCTTCACCAGAGACAGTGGGGAGCAGAACAGGCCGATCCACGAAGTACACTGTTGAGGGGAGCAGTGGGCGGGTCAGGAGAGGACCATGTGGTCACTTCCGGGGCAGGCGGGAATCAAACTCATGCGGAAGTGGCTTTAGCTTCTCAGTGCAGTGCTTTAACCCGCTGCACCACAATGGAGGGCCTACATGGCATATTTTTTAAAAAAGGCATATTTTAAGTGCATAATAGATTTTTTTTTATAATGCCTACAGTGAGAAATTTTACCCCCAAAGTGATATTATGGGGGAGGGTTCGTCTTTTGTGAGGTGATTAGATCATGAGGGTTGAGCCCTGAAGGATGAAATTAGTATACTTATACAAGAGGCCTGAGAGACCTTCCTTGAAGCTTATTACCATTTAAAGAGGCAGCAAAAATGTCTATGAGAAAATGAGCCCTCAACAAACACTGACTGTCATTCTTTGATCCTGAACTTCTTTCATCCTCCAGGACTATAAGAAATAAATTTCTGTTGTTTATAAGCCACCCAGCGTATGGTACTTTGTTATAATGGCCGGAACAAAGATACAAGAGGATCAAGGTAGGCTTGAATCTAAATGCTAGACCATCATAGCAGATTCTGAAGGCTGAATCACCTCTGCCAGCTACCAGCTCATGGGCAGAGAAGCTGGGTCAGGGAGAAGATGAAAGTTAGGGCATATTCATCACACTGACCTCACTCACCAAGGATAGTTATCTAGGAAATACTAAAGGTTCCTTCCCCATTACCAGATATTATCATTCTGCTCCAGGGAAGGAGCTATTCAGTGTATGAAAATGGAGTAAAATTTCTCTTTTCTATTTAGACAAAGCTGAAACCCTAGGAGAGAAGACAAAACAATTCCATTAATGTCTATTGATAAGAACTGACTTCCCTCTTCACCTTGCCCTTGCTCTAGAGGGTGAGCCTTATCTTTAAGAACAGAAGGTAGATCTCAATGTCCTGCTTTCTTTCCTCCCTCCCTCCCTTCTCCCCTTTTTTCTTCCTCCCTTCCCTCCTTCCTTCCACCGTTTCTTTCTTTCTCTTCTCCTGCTCTTGTTTCTGAGACAAGAAATCTTACTTTTTCTCTCTGACAGACAGAAAAGGTCATATAATGAGATTTCTTGGACAGGCAACACTCTTCTCCAAATTAGGGACCAATGAGCAAGAGAGAAACATTATTAAAGGTAAATTTGAATAAACAAAAATGGCTTCCACCCTAACTGATCTAAATGATGATGTGCTTCCCGATTGCCAAAGGGACAAAAGAAGCTTTAAGAGCAGTGGCAGGATTTGAAGCCTTTTGGAAATGAGATTGCATTACTCAAGAATATATTGATTGGATTTTTGTACCTGACATGCTTTTCCCCTTATGTGTGAGTTTTATATCCACAATCATCAATACCTTTGCATGGCCCTAGTAACAGAATTAAATAGAATCATTTAAACCAGAGTTGATATAATTGGGCCATGGTTATATATAAAATATTCCATGCAGTGTCAGAAATGTCTTAATATTGCAAAAGACATGTGTGGTTTTAGGCTAAAGCTGTCTTTTATAGCTGTGTATACCACTTTTGGGGGAGGGATATTTTCTTCATGTATCCTAGTTTCTGATTAATATATTTTCATACCTCTTTAAAGTGTGGGACAAGAACTATAAAATGCAGTTTCAATCATTTTGGTATTCAATCAGTACATATTAAAATGTTGTATAGGGAAAAAAGATACAGAAGACAGTCTTCTCTTCAGAAAGCTTATATTTAATGACTTCTACTGTGAACAAAAAATACTTTTGTTTAGTTGGTCCTTTAACAACCATTCTGGAAGCTAAATAATGCTCTCCCCAATTTACAGAGGGAAATACTATCACTGAGAGGTCATAGATCGAGATCAAACAAGTAGAAAGTGAAAGACTCTAGACTGGGCTTCAAAGTCCATGTTCATTCTATTCCTTCTGGCTTCTCCCAGTAATTCCAGTAAGCCCGCCAAAATCTCAAACTACTTTTCAATGTTTAATGCTCCCATTTGGTAGACAGTCCGTGGAATTTTTTTATTTTTCAACAAATGAGAAAACCCTGGAGAAGGTACGCAATGTTTCCCCCTTTCTAGGTATCTTGGATAGGCCTTTGTGAACCCAGAACGAATCCTTCTGATCCTTGGGCCCTTCAGCCCGGCATCTTCAACCCTGACAGGAGAGTCGACTTCTTTTCTGGAAGACTGGCCCCTCTCTCCCCTTCCCCACCCGGGTCTGGTAGATCCAGTGTTCTTTATCTCTTTCCAGAGGGGAGATGAACCAACCTCCAGGCAATCAGACTTCTCCCAAGCGGAGCTGCCATTCCCCGGGCGGCCGCCAGGGGGTTCCAGCTCGGCGGCCCCGCGCGGTAGCCGCGCGCTGGGTGCTGTGGGGGCTACTTTGGAGCGGTGGCGGCGGCAGCCAGAGCCCGGCGCTCGCTCGCCAGTCCGCTCGGCCCGCACGCAAAAGGCGGGGAGCCCCTGAGGCGAACCCGCAGGCGTCACCCCTCTGCCCCGCGCGCGCCCTCTTCCTCGCGCGCCAACTGCGGCTGACCCGACGCAGGGAGCGACAGGCCCCGGGGCTGAAGGTAAAACCCCACGGTGAGTGAGAACCCGTTCCAAGCGAGGGGAGGTGACGCAGCCCGGCAGCTGCTTGCTCTTGGGCGCGTCCGGGCGGGTTGAGGTGCGGGGCGCACCTGGGGCGGGTGCAACAGGCGGGCGGGAGGTGGCGGACCCCTCTTCCCCTCCCGCGGGCTCGGGCTTCCGGGACGGGAATTCGCGGGAGACCCCCCACCCGCGTCTTGGCTTCTGGCCGGCTGCTCGCGTGCCCTTCCCGGCCGGGACTGAGAGTCCGTCCCCACCCTGAGCTCAGGGCCTTGATTTCAAAGATCTATCAATACAATTCATCCTCCTGCGGGGCACGAGGCCGTCCCTGAACCAACCCGAAGTGCAGATAGCTGCAGGGTGCGTGTGGGGCCGTGGGTGGCGGGAAGACTAACTTTTACTCAAGTGTGCTTGGGAAGGGACGGCTGGGGACGTCTTGATCTTGAAGGAGGCGGCTCGGCCCGGCCGGCCGGCCAGGTCGTCCCCGGGACTGTGGGTGTCTGGTGTAGGCAGAGGGTGTGTAAAGGACGGGACAAATCCTACAGAAACCTTGGGCCCACAGCTGTCAAACGTCTAGAATTCGAGCCCTTCCCTTTTCCTGCATTTGGGCAGAAGGTAAAAAACCTTCAACTTTCCTTTTTTGCTCTGTCCGGCTTAAAAGACCCCCTCTGGGAAGGGTGAAGGGACGATCCTGGGCGCCGGCGATAAAGTACCAGGATCCTCCAAACCCTCAACCGCCTCGCTTTGCCCATCTTCCTGACCCCCCAAGCACCCTGCCCTCAGGGACCACGCGACTAAGCCGCTGGAGATCTTGGCGAATGGCCTTTTGTTTCTCCACGTTTCCCCTATTGTTTGCCTTTGCAGCTACTGGCGGGGCTGGGGCGAGAAGGAAGCCCCTCTCATCCTCCTTCCCCGCCCCCCACCAGCCACCCAGCCTGCTCCCGCCGCGGTTCCTGGCTGGGGCAGGACTGGAGCCCGAGCCCAGGGAGGCCGCCCCACCCGGGCCTTGCGGTTAGAGGGCGGAGGGAAAGTGGTTCCTTCCCCGCCTCCTCTGCTGCCTGTGGCCCTGGGCACATTTCTCGGATCTTATCTCTGTCGCTGTGCAAAGGGCTCAGGTCCTAGAGAGGTGCAGCTTTCAAGAGAGTGGAGCAAGGTGCCGCGGTAATTCCCGGTGTCCTTTTGGTGGGTTTCAGTGGATTTCAACCTCCGGCTAAAGGCGTGTGGCTGGGCGGACGCCAGGGCGTGGGACGAGATCAGGGCCGCTGCTGGTAGGCACAAGCCCAAGTCCTAGGGAGCCTGGGCTTTGCCTGGAAGTACTGTGAGGTGGCTGGCTCCGGAAAAAAACGTGAAGTTCCTACTTCACATAAGAGGCCAAGTGTGAATCCCAGATTTCCACTTCGCATTTACAAAAAGCAGACACCGTCTGACCTGTGTTCAGTTTTCCAAGTCCTGGCGAATCTGTGACTCAGGACTGATTCCCCTGTGGTGCGCCTGTTCGATTACAAGGGGTCCTATTTCCCTGCCTCTGCCCACAGAAGCTCACACAGCAGGTTCATTCTTAGGGAGTTTGGATTACTTATCAATTTGCTGTGGGCAAAGTAGTCACTCTGAAAAGGCCGAGTCCCCCAAAGCTTCCAGGAGAGTCACTTGACTAGCCTGAAGGAGGCTGAGTCCATGCACCTGTTGGAATCTTGACTTTACTTCCTCATAAGCTTGCATATACCAGTATTGCCTGCTTTTTCTGTTGGGCTCCCTGTCAGTCCCTCATCCAAGGAAACTCAATTACACTTTTTGTCCTCCACCTTTTGACCCCGCCCCCACCCCATGGGCGGAAGGGAGCATCCATCTGACCACTTGTGACCTGAGTACCCACTCAGCCATTTAAAATAAATTCTATGAATTGACTTGTCTCCACACTGTTCTAGGACTTTTCCCTTTTTACATGATTTAACAGAATTTTTGAGCTTCCTTTTAAAGGCTATGCTGCTAAATCAGGAATATGGACACAGAATACTTTACCCTAGTAATTGCTGGATGTTACCAGTGGGATTCACAAAAGAAAAAAGCAAAATCTTTGAAGCACTGGAAGGCACTTACAAACATTTCATTATGAAAATGGCCCTCAAGGAAGGATTCCTTTGAAATTTAGCAGTAGGAGAGAAACAACTAGAAGGGTCCTGGTTGCTCAAGAAGAGCCCAAAGGCATCGTTAATAAAGTGAAAGGACTGTGCTTGTTAAAGTTTACTCCAGAAAGGAAAACAGGGTAATTATAGTGGAAGATGGGCTTTCTATTGGTCCTTTAATTTTAGAATTAGGCCCTCCCCCCAACATTGTAGGGGGAAAAAAAATGGCAAATACAGAGGTGAAAGTGAGAAAAGGAGGGCAGAGAAGGGTTATTATAAATAAGGCTCCAGTGAACAAGCATACCCAAATATTTCCTTGGAATAAATTTCTGAGTATAGGCAAACTAGGTCAAAGGAGTTGATGCACCTTTTAGGATCTGTCAAATTGCCTTGCTATCTGATAATTTGTGCCAGATTATCCTTTCCTCAACAATATACATTATGCTTTTCCCCCTGCTACCCTGCACCCCACTCACTCTGTTAACCTTTCTTATCTCTGCCATAATGATGGTAGGGAGGTATCTTTTTACCTTATTTTCCATGTCTCTGTTCTCCAATGATATTAAACATTTTTCATATTGTATGTTAGTATTTTTTTTCCTTTGTGAAGTCATTCTGTGTTCTTACATCCTTTTAAATGGGAATATTCTTTTTTCTGATTAGAATTGCTGTTAGCAAAACTTGTTCTGACTTCTGCCACTTCCTATCACACAAACTTTATTGACTGGAAGTCCCAATCTTCTTCCCTTCTGCAAACATTTGATAGATATGCAACAATAAATTACGAAAGTAACTGACACTGCTCTGATAGAGTTATTGATGAGATCAGGCAAAGGTATTATGAGACAAATTGATGAAAACTAGTGTGTGAGTGTATACTTTGTGCTCAGTAGTTTGCATGGCTCCCAACTCCTTTGTAATTTATAGTGCTTCTTTTCCTCCTCCAACTCCCATTTAGAACAACTCTCCTGGTGAACTGCATTTTACTTATTAGTGGTTTATATTAACTCCTGATCTCCTTTCATACCCAATTTACCACACTTTACAGCTTGTTCTTTTCTTTCATCTAACTTTTTGGAAGGTTGTCAGTCAGTTTTATCATAACTTCCTTCTCTGTTTGGCTGCTTTTTTGGGTTCTACATTTGGATGATTCTCAAATTTACAGTTTGGTAGCATGGTGCTAAAGCAATCCTGGAGAGGTTTCCCAGAGGCTGAGTCAGGTACATTTTGTACTGTTTGTGCATCGTGTAGCCACAGTCTCTCAGTTATTTTTTGGAAGATGATTCTGGAATATGATTCTGAAATGAGGCAGAAGAAAAAGAGGAAGAGAAAATTCATTTCAGCTAGATGATAAACTAATAGAAATGAAGAAGCACATGCACACACACACACATTGAATAGATACTCTGGTTACAAATAATTTTTAAAAAGTAAGCTATATTAAAATGGCATGTATCATTAGGGTGATACTTAACAGACAGAAATTTGTCTCATGGAAAATTCAATCTGAAATTATTCTTTACTATAACTGTAGGAATATTATTTCAGGTACCCATAAAACAATGAAAGGCAGATACTACACTTTGCTGTAATATTTTCATTTCCCCTTTCTTTAGGTGTAGAAATCAAATATGCATTAGGAGTGAACAGTGTTCTCTGCATTGGAATTACATGCTCTCAAAGGCTGAATAGGAATTTAATGGTCATTTAACTCAGTCATACACTATTATTATGGATCTTCTTTCTCTTGAAAAAATAAAACACTACCATACAAACTTTACATTGTTTTAAATAAGTCAAACTGAGAAGCCAATAGATATTTCAACAGATCCCTCCTCCCAATTCTGTTGTTTTGCGAGGACAGGGAGAAAGGGAAGGTTTCTATGGGAGACTGTATAAATTCTTTTAACTTGCTGAACTTTTATAGACTAAACAACCTTGGCTGAAAGAGGGTTAAGTCACTAAGGTGTTACATTCTGCAAAGCTCTCTGATCCATATCCTCAAAACATTAGCTTGCAGAAATTCAGAGGTAGAAGAGCAAAACAAGTACAAAATAGCAAAAGGAAAGAAGACAAAGTAGAAGATGGAGATGGAATCTTATTTTAAAAGGGTCTCAGGACTTTCTGACCAGACTCATGGTCATCCAAGGGATGGTTGGTCATCCTCTTTTAGAGAGGGGAATGTGACTGATGTTACAATGCCAATTGTTACAGACAGTAAACCACCAGCAATCCAACCAATATTAAGGTTATAGTATAGCACATTAATTCTTTAAAAAAAATTAAAGAGGAGGCGGAAATCAGAGAGTAATGGAATTTTGGCCCTAAAAATATACCTTATTTCCTCATGTGAAGTGCTGTGGATTTCTGATAGTAGTAGAAACATCTTCTGACTTCAATAAGAACTATCTTCCAGGCACAATGACTATACTTCTTCCCTTTCAGGAACTTGTCTATCCTGGCGAAGTATTTCTTCAGTTCTAGGCTGCTTAGCTGGGGAACTGTAGCTTTTGAGTGTCGAATCTCATCACCTTCCATAGCTTTCAGGTCTTTATTTTCCTTCTCTTCCTCTTCTAAGCATTGCTTCAGGTACTGCAATTGCTGACCAAGTCCAGCTTGGATTTGTCTTAGGTGTTGCTCTTCCCAAGAGGACTTCACAGTGTATTGACTGAAGATGTTGAAGGCCTGTATGGAGATTTCATAGAAGGCTTCCTTGATGTCCCTTTTCACAGACTGGGTGTGTAATAGGACCTCTTTGGGCAATGCAAAAGCTTTCTTTTCTCGTAGACATTCTTCAGGAAGTGAATTGCTCATATTACTCAGTAGGCTGAGATTTTTCCAAGTGACTCTCCTAAGGTGGACATTCAGGAAGTTACAGTTCAGAGAAAGGGTGCCAATGATGAACAGACCCACAAGGCAAAGAGGCCGCAAATAATTTCTAATATGAGGCTTGGCACTCATTTTTCCACAAGCTAAAAGTTCACAAGAGTCAAGGTTGACAATAATGCCTTAGTTCTGAAGGATTCCTTCGTGTGCCTTTTATATACCTGCATATCTTCAGTGGGGAGGAGGCGGGGAGAAGCTTGCATTTTGTAGTCCCAAGGATTTTAGTCCTTTTCCTTTTGGGTGAGGTGCTTTTTTTATACTATGGGTGACTACATTGTCTTTTGAAGTACTATTTTTTTTTTTTTATTTTGAGAAAAGTGAGCAAAGCATTACTCTTACATTACCCTAGGTGTCTGGATGATCCATTCAAGACTACAGAATCATCACAGTAAAACTAGTGCCGAGTTTTTCATGAAGAACTGAAAGTTGTGAGTGTATATACTCAACCAGTTCTAGTATGTAATTGAGATGAGGATCATACTTCAAAAGAGTATTGTTTTGTAATTGTTTCTAAGGCCAAACATCTTTCTCTGAGTTAATCAAAGACATTAACCAAATGACTGTCATTATTTACAAAGCCACCAAAGCATAATTTAGATTTTTATCATGTTGTTAAATTAAGCTGTTATACTTGGGTATCGTTGATTTCTGTTTGATTTTTCTGGATCTCATAATCAATGAAAAGTAGAGTTGATCAATTTAGCATGATATTGATCAAGTACTAGGCTAAGCCAGCATGTTTTTTTTTTTATTGCCACTTGAGAAACTTTCCTTTAATTAAACCCTAACGCACATTCCCATCACCACCTAGTACTTCATTTGCCTCTGATAATAACTTTATTGTAAATCCGCAAGAGGGTTATAGAATTTTTTTTTCATTAGTTTCTCTGTTGTAGTTATCATGTGTTTTCTTTCCTTTTTTAGTTATAGTAGTTCAGACGATATTTTAAAAAATTTTCTTAGAGGTTCTAGATTATGTGAAAGTTTTTGTTTGTTCCTTTTTGCTTTTAACTGAGGAGGATTTTGTGTAGTCAAACTAATTCATACTGGGACCAATATTACTGTGGTATAATGATAGCTATCCACCATTTATAATTCTCACTTTAACGAAATAATTTTCTTCTGATTGTGATCAAAATAAATGGATTTCTGTCTCCAGGAAGGTAAAGTGACATGTCATTAAACAAATCTAACTTACTTTATCATCTTAAAAAAGAAATGTGTTAATTTTCTATAAAATCATCTTAGAATGTTAAACAACCACAATTTTATAAATATGACAGACCTTGATTGGAACTTTGGCTTACAATTTTCCTGACACAATTTTCTTTGGCCCAGTTAACTGTGAACTAGTTGACTAGTTCAACAACTAATTCACAACTAATTGTGAACTAGCAAGATTCCTTAAAATTCTGGCTTTTTGGATTGCTTTAAAACTTACAACATATATTACTCTTTACCCTTTATATATCACAGAGAGATTTCATGGTGACTGTTAGCTAGGAAAACATGCCCTTTTTGTACAGGATTATAAATACACAAAACCTTCCTAGAGAACAAAATGGTGATATGTTTTAAGGTAGTCTTTAAAAAAATAAATAGGTCTTGACTCAGCAGTCCTCCCTCTGGATATTCATCCCCAAGATGATGTCTTTGAAAACTTAGCCATCAGAAAGTACCACAGCAAAACTCAGAACCTCACATTATACTCTAATATGTTATATGAATATGATCTCTCTCACAAAATATTGTGTATTTTAAGCTGTGGTTGGTGGGTAACATACTACAGAAAACAAAACCAAGGATAAAGATAGAATAGGATTACTGTATTTTCTGCCATATACAGTTTTATTATTTTATCCCCCATGACCCTAATTTCCTTCCTTTGTAGTCTTTCCATATCATATCCTCATTTACTCAAAACTGTTTTCAGCATCTATCATGTGCTAATCACTGGGCAAGGTCTTGAGAGGGGGAGGAATAAGTTATAGTACACGATCTCTAGGAGTCCATGGTTAAAGAAGCAGCCATTTTTTTTCAGTGTTAGGGAGTAGGAGTCATTTGTAAGTCTAGAGTGGACCTCATTTCCCATGTTCTAAAAATGTTAACTGATGCTGATGTTAACAATATATATGGCAAAGAAGGAAAAATGATTAACTTGCATGTATTCTTCTCCTCTACCATTAGGATTGCCTGGCTTCACAAATAAAAATACAGAACACCCATGCACTATTTGGGGTGTGTACACACTAAAAATTATTCACTGTTAACCCCAATTTGAATTAAAAAATATTTATTTATGTATGGATAAGAACTGGGATACAGGCCAGAGGTGCAGGGGGTGAGAGGATTCACCAGAGACAAATTGGGGAGCAGAACAGGCAGATTGATGAAATATACTGCTGAGATTAGGAGAGGTCTGCCATGCCATGTGGGTTACTTTCCTGCCTGGGGATCAAACTCATGCTGCAGTGGCTGTGGATAGTTCCACTGCACCACTAGGGAGGGCCCAACCCCAATTTGAATTTACCTGGCATCCCATATTATATCTGGCAACCCTATCCACTGTTTAAGCTCCCATTGCCCACTGCAGGAACTTTCCTCTGCTAGCTGTCCATTTTACAGAGGGGTACCTTTGCATGTGTATGTACTCCTAACAATTGTACATAAAGAAACAGAGGTAGGTAAGTAGGTAGGTAGGTAGGTAGGTAGGTAGGTAGGTAGGTAGGTAGGTAGGTAGATAGATAGATAGATAGATAATTGTGTGATTAGGGATTATTTGGGGATCAGTCATTGGTCATGCCTCTGCTCTGTAAATGCCATGTCATCTGAATATCTCAAAATATAATCAGAGAATTGGCATGAATGATAATGTAAGGAATTGTTTTCATCCCCAAATCATTGGCAGGCTATGAGTTGATATGGCTAACTTTATTTCCACGATATTTGTTCTTATTTCTTTAGCATGTCTTGAGGTCATTTATATGTGACCAGACTTTCCTCACAAGGAAAACTGATTAGCAAGGGCCTCTCTCTTATCAATGGAACTGTGTGAAATCCATATGGGTTACAATATTAATAGTAAAAGGCAAGATACAATTTGGTTGACAGAATGGAGATGAGACAGTTCAGTCTAGACAAGGTAACTCTGACTCATTCCAGGGGCTTTCGGCACCTTCTGGATAAGATTTATTGCTCTCCCTGAAGGGGCAAGTTTTGCACCTGCATGAAAACAACATGTTGATCGTCTGTGTTACTCAGTCCCTGAAAGTAAGTCACTCCATTTGTGGAGTCAAAGTGGTGGGGCCCAGACAACAGCTCAAAGATGGGAGCCCTGTGTCCATGTCTGACAGTGCTTCCCACAGGGCATGAAGGTGGCCGTAAAATTGAATGCAGCTATATTAACCCCAAACCAACCTGAAATTCCAACAATTTTCACTCATGTCCAGTGCTTCCCACATTGAGGTCAGCTTGTCATAGTCCTCTAATTCACCCCTGGGCTGTTACTGATATACCTGATGTAGAAATTTATGATGACTATGCAGAAACACATGGGTATTTTCAAGTTTAAATATTCATCTAAAGTGAAAGCCTTACTTATCAGCTCAGCCTCACACCATGCCACTCATTTCTCTGCCCTGTGGTAACTGGTGTCATTAGCTTGGTATGCATCCTTACTTAACACTAAGTCCCCACTCAACAGTAAGTCCTATGAGTGCAAGTACAAGAACTGGTTTGTTTGCTGCTCTCTTTTCTATGCCCAGCAGTCTCCTGAGAGAAAGGGAGATACTGGATCACTCCCATGGATGCCATGTGGTATTGGAATATATATATATTGTACAGATTACAAAAAAATTGCCAAAACAGAATTATAAAACTCATAATGTGCCTTGAAGTTTAATCCTATTTCTCTGTGACTGTACCAATAGCCTCACTTGAAAATAATATGTGAAATGTGCATGATAACCCTTCGTGAAAATGACATTCACCAAATCTGAGTTTTACAAATCTAGGTACCTATACCAGCATCTGGCCCATAGTGGATGCCCAATAATTACTGACTGGGTGACTAAGAAAAGATAATGAAGCCATGTTTCCATCAGTGACAAGGGAGATATTTTGAGCTTTAGTTCTTTTGTTGTAGGGGCCCAGGGAGGACAAATCAGCTGCTGGGAGAAATTGACGAGTTCTTAGAATGGTAGATAGCAGCCCAAGTGCCATCAGTGACCTCTCCTACTTCCATTGCTATTTTTTCTAAAGATATATTTATTTATGCATACAAGAACTGGAGCATAGGTCAAAGATGTGGGTTGTGAGAGAATCCACCAGAGACAGCGTGGGGAACAGAACAGGGCACCACTAGGTAGGGCCTTTCATTGCTTTTCCCTTGGGGCTGGTGAGGTCAGGTGCTCTGCCATGCTTCTATTCAAGCTGTATTCATAGTTTTGGGTTGTTTGGCTAACTCATCTATCTTCTCCCCCAAACTAGAGATGTGTCTTACTCAGTTTTGTATCCATGACATTTCTTACATAAAAAAAGCATTAAGTGTTGTAGAATAAAAGGCTGCCACATGATTTTTTTTTTATGATTCTGATGTTTGATTATTAACCTATGCAGGCAAACCAGCTGTGAGGTTTTGAGACCACTTCTTCACCCTTTTCTTTTGTATCGCCACTATTTTGTTTAAGATGTACCCAGTAGCTGTCATTTCATCATATCAGCCTTAGTGAGAGTCTTTGGAAAAGTTTACACTTAGCTCTTTTATAGCATGGTTTCAAATTATGCATGTGGCAACTTCCTACATAGAAATAATTTGAGTTTTTTGAAAATGATCCCCAATAAAAAGAAATTAAATGGTGGAATAAGTACTTAGTTAATATGTATGCACCATCAATAAAACATATTCTTTAAGACCAAAGCAGTTTCTATCCATATTTTTTTTTCACTGTTGTTTATCTTGGTTGATTTGAACCCTAAAGGGGAATTCACTTCTGAGATGACAATGTTACTAGTAGTAGCAATGAAAAGTGTAATCTACCAGACTAATTCTCTCCTTTACTCACTGAGTAAATAAT